TGAAGGTCATTCATTTGAACAAACTTGGTAGCCCTTCACCCTAGCATGCTACTGACCAAATATCATCACCCTGGGCAGTTTGGTTATTGAGAAGAAGTTGTTTAAAGTTTTTAACATATTTGACCCCTGTGACCTTGAAAATAGATGAAGGTCATTTATTTGAACAAACTTGGTAGCCCTTCATCCCAGTTTGCTTCTGGCCAAATACAATCACCCTAGGCCTTTTAGTTATTAAGAAGAAGTCATTTAAACTAAAATATTGACGCCGGACGACAGACGGACGACGGATGCCGCACCACGGCATAAGCTCATTTGGCACTTCGTGCCAGGTGAGCTAAAAACCTCCGCCTTCATTGCTCCTAGTAAGTAATATCGGTATAATTACTAAAACATCATGGTCACCTTGTAGGATACACCGACTGGATTAAAGCGTATAACAATTGTAAAATGCATCATGGGATTTAGTTTGAACCTTCTTTATAGCAAGAGGTTTACAGGAGATGTTCCTGTAATGCAGTCACCAAATCTAAACACTTGGGCATTTTCTTTCTCTTCCTTGTCAAAATCAATCCTTTGGTATCTAACTGATACTGAGAGGCCATCAATACCGACCCTGGCTTTTGAATCCCCTGCACCTTTCATCAAATTATCGTACACAAAGGAGCCAAGCGTGACACAAAAAGCAATACCAGCCCATCTATTAGCTTGGAATGACCCTGATGGTTTCTCGTGGTCAGGAGATGGTCAACACAAATCTCCATCACCTCTGACACAAACTAAATTTGTGTTGACCTGATCACAATCTACTCCTGACTATCATGATTCGCTACAACAAATAGAACTTCTAGAGTGCCATTGTGTTCACCAGTGGGCCCAACAGATCACGCTTTACCAATCATGTATCATCACCGGGTAACAAAGATTGAATGAGTATGTATTCACAGATGAATGGTGATCCTTTTTCTACCCAACAGAGTATGTGTTTCTGACAAATCTAGCCTAGCTACCAATTACCTTTCCTCTTTCAGAGGTTCGTGAGACCTGGTTTATTTTAATGGACCAATTTTGAATCATTTATGATAGATGACATCTAAATGTTGTCACAAATTGGGTCAAATCATTTGATTACACTGCAGGGATGATAAATATGCTGATGACTTTTGCTATACATTAAAAATAAAAAACAGTTTTTGCTTTAATAGTGCTCATCAAGTGATGTGGGAAGTTCAGCCATGATAAATGAGTAGCATTCCTGATTACTGTAAACTAAATGTTTCTTCTATTTAAAACAGAGAAATATTTTACACACATACAAACATTTTACGTTGTGTATAAAAATTAAGACCACTAACATTTGTTCTATTGAGAATAAGGACCATTATACTTTGATCTATAGAGAATAGATATTACTAACCTTTGGTCTATAGACAATTAAGATGTTACTACCCTTTGGTCTGTAGATAATTAAGATATTATTAACCTTTCGTCTGTAGATAATTCAGACATTACTAACCGTTGGTCTGAAGATAATTAAGACATTACTAACCTTTGGTCTGTAGATAAATAAGATATTACTAACCTTTAGTCTGTAGAGAATTAAGATATTACTAACCTTTAGTTAGTAGAGAGTTAAGACATTACTAACCTTTGGTCTGTAGAAAATTAAGATATTACTAACCTTTAGTCTGTAGAGAGTTAAGACATTACTAACCTTTGGTCTGTAGAAAATTAAGATATTACTAACCTTTAGTCTGTAGAGAGTTAAGACATTACTAACCTTTGGTCTGTAGAAAATTAAGATATTACTAACCTTTAGTCTGTAGAGATTAAGACATTACTAACCTTTGGTCTGTAGATATATAAGATATTACTAACCTTTAGTCTGTAGAGAATTAAGATATTATTAACCTTTGGTCTGTAGAGAATTAAGACATTACTAACCTTTGGTCTGTAGAGAATTAAGATATTACTAATCTTTGGTCTGTAGATAATAAGATATTACTAACCTTTGGTCTGTAGAGAATTAAGACATTACTAACCTTTGGTCTGTAGATAATTAAGACATTACTAACCTTTGGTCTGTAGATAATTTAGATATTACTAAACTTTAGTCTGTAGAGAATTAAGACATTACTAACCTTTGGTCTGTAGAGAATTAAGATATTACTAATCTTTGGTCTGTAGATAATAAGATATTACTAACCTTTGGTCTGTAGAGAATTAAGATATTACTAATCTTTGGTCTGTAGATAATAAGATATTACTAACCTTTGGTCTGTAGAGAATAAAGATATTACTAACCTTTGGTCTATAGATAACTAAGACATTACTGAACCTTTGGTCTGTAGAGAATTAAGATATTACTAACCTTTAGTCTGTAGAGATTAAGACATTACTAACCTTTGGTCTGTAGATATATAAGATATTACTAACCTTTAGTCTGTAGACAATTAAGACATTACAAACCTTTGGTCTGTAGAGAATTAAGATATTACTAATCTTTGGTCTGTAGATAATTAAGATATTACTTACCTTTGGTCTGTAGAGAATTAAGATATTACTAACCTATAGCTAGTAGAGAGTTAAGACATTACTAACCTTTGGTCTGTAGAAAATTAAGATATTACTAACCTTTAGTCTGTAGAGAATTAAGATATTACTAACCTTTGGTCTGTAGATAATTAAGATATTACTAATCTTTGGTCTGTAGATAATTAAGATATTACTTACCTTTGGTCTGTAGAGAATTAAGATATTACTAACCTTTGGTCTATAGATAACTAAGACATTACTGAACCTTTGGTCTGTAGAGAATTAAGATATTACTAACCTTTAGTTAGTAGAGAGTTAAGACATTACTAACCTTTGGTCTGTAGAAAATTAAGATATTACTAACCTTTAGTCTGTAGAGATTAAGACATTACTAACCTTTGGTCTGTAGATATATAAGATATTACTAACCTTTAGTCTGTAGAGAATTAAGACATTACAAACCTTTGGTTTGTAGATAATTAAGACATTACTAACCTTTGGTCTGTAGATAATTAAGACATTACTAACCTTTGGTCTGTAGATAATTAAGACATAACTAACCTTTGGGCTGTAGATAATTAAGACATTACTAACCTTTGGTCTGTAGAGACTTTATGTGGTCTACAAGTTTTTTACTTGCTTGTTCTGCCTTCCATCGTCTCTCTCGTTCCTTCTCCAACTCTTGCATCAGTTGCTATGGAGAAAAGCAAAATATTCCTTAAATTTTGCATTAAATGATTGAAGATGCTTCTTACTTATATTTTTCATCTTGTAATTCATCTCCTATACAATTAATTCGCCTATGGAGATTAGTTGTAAGGTCTAAAGCATGTGATAATGCTAGAACTACAGTGTTCATATAGGGCTTTAGACATCTGGTTGTAAGCAACGTGGGGCAAGATGACATTTTAAAATATTGTAATTTTGATTGATAGGGTTATGGACACCAAATCCAGTTTAGATGAATCCTTGAGAAACGAGGAATACATTTTGTGCTAAAGGTGTGGTTCCCATGGGGACATAGGATCGGGGCAGAATAAGGAAAAATAGATGTAAAAACAAAGGAATATCCTTGGCTCAAAAGGATGCAATGCTTTATGTTACATAAACTATGAGAGAACACACTGTTCTGTCAATAATAAACATACAATATTCATCAGTTTGATATTAAACATTAGAATATGCGGAAATTGTGATACTGTCTCCCTACATTGGATTTTCAACTAGGGATGTACTTCCTATTTCCGTTTATCAATACACTCCTATGACCTTAACTGGCCCATCACATTTCCCACATTCACTAAGAACACACACCCAGGGGGAGGTGTAATGTGACATTAAAAAATACAAAACAAACAATACAAAACCACCAAAATCAGTTTGCAGCAAAATTTTAATGGTTATTCAAATTCCAGGCCGATTTGGACACTTTTGATAGTTTTTGTTTAGTATACATGTATAGTAATTAGGGCCTTTTCACCATTTGTAGGGCATTTCAAGCCCACTGTTGTTTTTAAGGACTTAGGAACCCTTTCCCAGAAGGAAAACCCTAGATGTCGTTAATAAGCACAGGGGCAAGTAAAGCGAGCCATGCCCCTGTGTTAATCAGTGCCTAATTCAGGTTTCTGAAACGTAATGATGAACATAAAGGCATCATGCTAGGCATACCAGTGCATCATAAGACAGTTGGAATGAGTTTGTGTTACACAATTGTAATATTCCCTCATCATAAGGATTAGGTTCTAAAGAATCCCATTAACAAGGAATAGAGTATTGTTATTCTGGGAATTTCAAGGTTAGAACACTTCTTACAAAAATCAAGGAGTTTTCAAGGTTAACTGTAAAACCAAAATGATTTTAAGTTTGGTTTTGATGATTTACGCTTCAGACTTGGACACCAGTAACTCACTCTCCTTCAAGTGTTCAGAGGTTGAAACAGCAACAGCTCTTAACATCTTCCCCGATTTGTTAGCTTTCAAAGTTAAAATGTATTTTTTATAAACTTCCTCAAATGTGCTAGATGATTTTTTTATTTTCAAAAGATTTATTATATAGTGCAAGCTATGAATTTCAGATGATGACATTTGTGTTTTAGATCATTTATGCTGGTGAGCTTCAAGATATTCAGACTGCAATCATCAACAAAAAGCATGTGCCCAGCCTGTCAGACACAACAAGTAAATCACAGTGTCGTGTGTTTGGTACAGGTTAATCACAGTGTCTTGTGTTAGGTACAGGTAAATCACAGTGGCGTGTGTTAGGTACAGGTTAATCACAGTGTCTTGTGTTAGGTACAGGGAAATCACAGTGTCGTGTGTTAGGTACCTGCCTCACCCAGCCTGTCAGACACAACAAGTAAATAACAGTGTCATGTGTTAGGTACAGGCCTCACCCAGCCTGTCAGACATAACAAGTAAATGACAGTGTCGTGTGTTGGGTACAGGCCTCACCCGGCCTGTCAGACACAACAAGTAAATCCCAGTGTTGTGTGTTAGGTACAGGCCTCACCCGGCCTGTCAGACACAACAAGTAAATAACAGTGTCATGTGTTAGGTACAGGCCGCACCCAGCCTGTCAGACACAACAAGTAAAGCACAGTGTCATGTGTTAGGTACAGGCCGCACCCAGCCTGTCAGACACAACAAGTAAATCGCAGTGTCGTGTGTTAGGTACAGGTAAATCTCAGTGTCGTGTGTTAGGTACAAGTAAATCACAGTGTCGTGTGTTAGGCACAGGTAAATCACAGTGTCGTGTGTACGTGTGTTAGGTACAGGTAAATCACATTGTCGTGTGTTAGGTACAGGTAAATAACAGTGTCGTGTGTTAGGTACAAGTAAATAACAGTGTCGTGTGTTAGGTACAAGTAAATAACAGTGTCGTGTGTTAGGTACAGGCATCACCCGGCCTGTCAGACACAACAAGTAAATAACAGTGTCATGTGTTAGGTACAGGCCTCCCCCAGCCTGTCAGGCATAACAAGTAAATGACAGTGTCGTGTGTTAGGTACAGGCTTCATCCGGCCTGTCAGACACAACAAGTAAATCCCAGTGTCGTGTGTTAGGGACAGGTAAATCACAGTGTCGTGTGTTAGGTACCTGCCTCACCCAGCCTGTCAGACACAACAAGTAAAGCACAGTGTCATGTGTTAGGTACAGGCCTCCCCCAGCCTGTCAGACATAACAAGTAAATGACAGTGTCGTGTGTTAGGTACAGGCTTCATCCGGCCTGTCAGACACAACAAGTAAATCACAGTGTCGTGTGTTAGGTACAGGTTAATCACAGTGTCTTGTGTTAGGTACAGGTAAATCACAGTGTCGTGTGTTAGGTACAGGCAAATCAGTGTCGTTTGTTAGGTACAGGGAAATCACAGTGTCGTGTGTTAGGTACAAGTAAATAACAGTGTCGTGTGTTAGGTACAAGTAAATAACAGTGTCGTGTGTTAGGTACAAGTAAATCACAGTGTCGTGTGTTAGGTACAGGTAAATCACAGTGTCGTGTGTTAGGTACAGGTAAATCAGTGTCGTTTGTTAGGTACAGGTAAATCACAGTGTCGTGTGTTAGGTACAGGTAAATCACAGTGTCGTGTGTTAGGTACAGGTAAATCAAAGTGTCGTGTGTACAGGATATCAATGCATGGTAATGACTGATACTTAATATACCTTTGAATGAATTAATTGTCAAATATAACACACCACCTTAAACTTGTAGGTTACACTGGAAATATAATTATTGACTTCAATGGATTTAAACAATACTTAATCATCTGTTACAAATTATTTTGTTTCTCAAATAATAGGAAAGAAATAAAGACAATTACCCACTGAGAAAAGCGGAGGGGGTTGACAACTATAGCAGTGTATACTGGCAGAAATAAACTTATCTGATCTCATTATCTACACTCTGTGTGCCTGACAAGATTATAAGCACCATTTGCTAGTGTCACTCCCAAAAAAGTAAAAGATGTCTTTCAAATACCAATTACACATTTTCTATCTGGAATTTGATTAGAAGTCATTTGCAGTCGACAGAATTCAGACTGAAACAGAAAAGAACAGGAAGAATGACATCATTCCTCGCCTTCAGCAATTTAAGTTAGCAGACACTTAACAGGATTTTCTAAGAAATTCAATTATTAAAATAACTTCATTCCAAATATCTGGGATTCAGCTATTAGGATAGGCAACATATTTCTAATCAAACAGGGTTATATATGGAAAATGATTTTCATCTTGTTACCGATGCTTTGAAAAATCAGCAGAAACATTTTTAGTCAACAACACGCAGAGCAGAGTAGGGCGAGTTCACCTAGAACTTTAAGCCATAATAAGCTGTTAACTCCTGGGTTTCTAAAACAGACAAACACAAAAGCAGCTTTACCCCTATAAAATACTTAAATAGAAATACATTTACATTGATCTACAAGCTATAAGGTAGCAATTATATCTACTCAGATTTTTATATCAGACTTTGGGAAGAAGTATAAAATGTGAGTGGTTTAAGGATGACAGGGGAATGATGCACAATGCACTTAAGATAAAGTTTAAATGAGACTTCGTAACATGAACACTGCTACATAAACCTAAACACATCCCCAATTAATATTCATATTTCAATAAAACAAAGTGAACACAGGCTCACATATATAGGTATATTTTCCCTCACCCTACTTTGCGTGTTACCTTTGACCCTTTAACATTGACCAATGACCATCAAAACCTAATCGGGTGTAGAACTGTGTAGCCACACTACCATGTGTAAATGTAAATTAAACATGTTGAAGAGGGTTGTGAGATACCTTTACCTTTGACCTTTTAACCTTGACTGATGACCATATAATTAACCAGGTGTAGACCTTGATATTACCATACTATGGTGTGAATATATAATAAATGTGTTCAGAGGTTCAACAAAGATCTTGTACACAACCTTTGTTTTACTGCGGATGGATGCACAACCTATGCACGCATGAACGTAGGTATGGACAAAGCGATTACTGCGTAAGTTAAATTTTGTAAATACACAAAATTAAAACGCTTGAAATATATTGATACCTGTATATGTGTAACAAGAAATTAACAATTGTTGAGTGTTGTTGACAAGTTGCAGCATATCTACGCCTCTTCTTTGATACAACATTAACTTCCATTGGCTCAGGTTTGCTTCATATTAAATTGGAGAAACAGTGATCCAACTCACAAACTTGTACCCCCATTTTCACTTACTAGTTTTCTTGAGCAGAAATTGCCAAGGTCAATAACTCAAGGAAATATTGTCAAAACACACATTTCTTTCTTCATACACAGGGACATATGATGTAGTTTAACTGAGACAAACTACCAAAAAATCCAACACACAGTTAAGGAGGAGTTGGCTTGCAAGTTTTCTAGAGCAGAAATTTAAAGCTTCAAGGGCCATAACTCCAGGAAAAATATTTGTATTGAAAATTCCTTTCTTCAAGCATATCTACAAACAATGAAGTTTCACTGTGACGAGGTACACAAACTGTTAAGGAGGAGTTCACTTACAAGGTTTCTAGGGCAGAATGTTTCAATGGCCATAACTCCAGGAAAAATTGTCAAATTGCAAATTCATTTCTTCATGCACATTTACATACAATGTACTTTCACTGTGTCAAGTAACACAACAATCTAACCCACGGTTAATGAGGAGTGGCGCTTACATAATGGACAGACAGACAAGGTGATTCCTTTATACACCCCCCTTCCCCCCACCAAGTTTGTTATGTGCTACAGCCTGTCAATCTATTTGTTCGTCTGCTGGATATTACCAAACTAATCAGTAGTGAAGCGGACGTAAAAACACTCAAACATCCTGTGTATATTACATATTACATCAATTGGACATTAATTCTTGCACTCTCAGATCGAGGCAGACTGTGTTTCACTGTGATATTGGAGCTAGGACATTGTTTCATGTTATATTTTCAGATGCAGTCAAGGAGCAGTCATCAAGAGATAGGTTGGAGTATAGCTGTGGTCAATGTGGTCAAACAAGGGGGTATTTAGTGTGGCCAGAGAAGACAATAGAAACTTACCACATATGTAGACTGGACATCCTCCCTCATTTGCTGGTCAGTGACACAGTAGGCTGAGGGCTGTCTGAGGACTGCCTCGTGTGTGGCTGGTCCTAGCTGGTCCTCCCCTATAGCACTACTGAAATCAGGAAACATTATCAGTCATTAAAAATTCAGGCCACTTAATGATTACACATTAGATACCTGATAGAACAAGGTTACCGCAAGCGGTATATAATACGCCCGTCACACATTGAAAGAGCAGTTGTTTGTATGATTGAAATATATGAAGTATTTGTGAGTAATTGATATTGAAAGAGAAATCATTCAACATAACTGGTAGATCAATGAGTGCAATTCAACATCATGGAACACATGCATCGCATTAATGAAACCAAGGGGAATAACTCCAATAATTACGGTCGGATAATGGCGGTTATCGAACTTGTCCGAGGTTTCATGGTAATTAACCTTGTTGTGAAGTTTGAAGTTAATCCGTTAATAATTACTCGAGATATCGAGCGGACACTGTTTCGGCAAGTCCATAAAGGGGCATAACTCCACAAATTATGGTCGGATAATGGCGGTTATCGAACTTGTCCGAGGTTTCATGGTAATTAATCTTGTTGTGAAGTTTGAAGTTAATCCGTTAATAATTACTCGAGATATCGAGCGGACACTGTTTCGGCAAGTAAAGGGGCATAACTCCAGAAATTATGGTCGAATAATGGCGGTTATCGAACTTGTCCGAGGTTTCATGGTAATTAACCTTGTTGTGAAGATTGATGTTAATCCGTTAATAATTACTCGAGATATCGAGCGAACATCGTTTGCCTGCCCGCCCGCCCGCTCACGTGATAACATAATATGTCCCCGTCTTCGACGGGCGTATAAAAAGCTGAAAGACCATGTACACAATCAAGTTACAGGATGAACACACAATCAAGTTACAGGATGAACACAGAACCCAGTTACAGGATGCACACACATCCAAGTCACAGGATGAACACACAACCAAGTTACAGGATGAACATACAACCAAGTTACAGGATGAACACAGAACCCAGTTACAGGATGAACACAGAACCCAGTTACAGAATGATCAAACAACCAAGTTACAGGATGAACACAGAACCCAGTTCCAGGACGCACAAACAAACAGGTTACAGAATAAACACAGAAACCAGTTACAGGACGCACACACAACCAAGTTACAGGATGAACACACAGCCAAGTTACAAGAGGAAAACACAACCAAGTTACAGGATGGTCAAACAACCAAAATACAGGATGAACACAGAACCCAGTTACAGGACACACACACAACAGAGTTACAGGATGAACACAGAACCAAGTTACATGATGAACACACAACCAAGTTACAGGATGAACACACAACTGAGTTACAGGATGAACATACAACCAAGTTACAGGATGAATACAGAACCAAGTTACAGGATGAATATCAGTACAATTTTTGGATATATTACTGTAGTTCAAGTTCCTTGAAGTTTTTAATATAATAATTAATAATTTGAGGTTCTTATATAACGCTTTATCACAACCTAGTTCGTAGGTCGTCTCAAAGCGGTTCACAAATTATTATCCGTGGTTATAGGGCATTTGCAGCCACCCAATATCTTTTTCTCAACTCCCTGGTGAGCATACAGCCGGAGCTGCCATTTCGGCGCTAACAGCTAGCATTCAACCATTCTAGCACTGCCCAACCACGTACTCATTTACAGCTGAGTAAAGTAAATTGCTCAAAGATACAACACAGAGCTGTGCCATGACTCGAACCCGCAACCCTTCGGTCATAAGCCCGGCGTCCTACCACTTAAGACTACCGTGCCTCTTATGTTTGACCTCTGTGACTTTGAGAGTAAGTCAAGGTCATTTATCTAAAACTTCATAGCATGAAACTGACCAATGTCTTGACCATAGTCCTCACCATTATTAAGAAAGAGTAGTTTAAACACATCTGACTCCTATAAAATTGAATTATAAGTCAAGGTTATTGCTTTTCACAAACTTTTTAATATGCCATTCGAATAAGCTACCGAGCGAATAAAAAAAGAGCCTATAGGCATTTTCATTCTTAAGAAGTTTGAAACAGTTTGATTATTCTAACAAATTTGACCCCAGAGTGTGACCTTGAATGTAAGTCGTGTTTGTTTGTGTTTACATTGTATCAGTCTATACCAGCAAGTGACTAACAAAGTATCACGGCACTAGTCACTTCAGTTCTGAAGAAGTTGTTTTAACACCTTTCACCCCTTTGACATAGAAAAGAGGCCAGGGTCCTTTTTTCTTTGCAAACAAGGTATTACACACCATTCCAGGAGGATAAATGGCCAAATATCATGATTTTGACCCCAATAAAACCTGAGTTAATAAGCAAAGGTCATGCCCTTTGCAAAGTAAGTAGCAATCTACTGCCAAAATATCATGACTGTTATATGCAATTTTGTTTTTCAACAGAAAAAGTTTTGTTTTTGTTTTTTAAGTTGTTTTTTGTGTTTTGGCTTCTTTTTAATCTAACTACCATGAACTTAAAAGCTGGTCAATGTAACGTTATTTTGCAAACCTTGTCAGGTTTCATATCAGGAAGCATCTAGCCAAATATCATGACCCAACATTGAATGGTTCTAAAGAAGAAGTTGTTTAAGGAAAAAGTTAATGAATCATGGAGGGATAGACAGATGGTATATGACTTATCAAAGCCGAAATCATTGTGTGTAATACAAATTCCAGTTACAAGATTAAACCGGTCATTTTAAAGAATCAAAAATCACAATACATTTCCTCTGCAAACTTCTCTTTTTAGTAACCAGTTGGACACAGTACATCACTAAAACTTTAATTGGCAAAGGCATAAGTCTAATGCAAATCTGTGTCAATAAACATGCTATGGTCTAGGGCCAGGTATTCCTCCTGTTGGTACAATAATAAATACACCAACTCTTTTATGAGATTTAGACCAGGCAGTGATTTAGCACTGCCAAATGCCTGATTAGTTCCTGGTGTTATTTTAGCTGAAATCCTGCAAGAACCCAACTAAATTCCAGCTATACTTTAACTTGGGTTCAAGCAAGGTAGTCAGTTATAATGAGTTGTCCTACTCACCAAAAGTACTAGTCAACATACCTGTACAGATGGGTACAAGCTTGCTAGGAAGTATTGACTCAGATAAAACAGTACAGTCAACATACCTGTACAGATGGGTACAAGCTTGCTAGCAAGTATCGACTCAGATCAAACAGTATAGTCAACAAACATGTACAGATGGGTACAAGCTTGCTAGCAAGTATCGACTCAGATCAAACAGTACAACTAGTCAACATACCTGTACAGATGGGTACACGCTTGCTAGGAAGTATCGACTCAGATCAAGCAGTATAGTCAACAAACCTGTACAGATGGGTACAAGCTTGCTAGGAAGTATCGACTCAGATCAAACAGTATAGTCAACAAACCTGTACAGATGGGTACAAGCTTGCTAGGAAGTATCGACTCAGATCAAACAGTACAACTAGTCAACATACCTGTACAGATGGGTACAAGCTTGCTAGGAAGTATCGACTCAGATCAAACAGTACAACTAGTCAACATACCTGTACAGATGGGTACAAGCTTGCTAGGAAGTATCGACTCAGATCAAACAGTACAACTAGTCAACATACCTGTACAGATGGGTACAAGCTTGCTAGGAAGTATCGACTCAGATCAAACAGTACAACTAGTCAACATACCTGTACAGATGGGTACAAGCTTGCTAGGAAGTATCGACTCAGATCAAACAGTACAACTAGTCAACATACCTGTACAGATGGGTACAAGCTTGCTAGGAAGTATCGACTCAGATCAAACAGTACAACTAGTCAACATACCTGTACAGATGGGTACAAGCTTGCTAGGAAGTATCGACTCAGATCAAACAGTACAACTAGTCAACATACCTGTACAGATGGGTACAAGCTTGCTAGGAAGTATCGACTCAGATCAAACAGTACAACTAGTCAACATACCTGTACAGATGGGTACAAGCTTGCTAGGAAGTATCGACTCAGATCAAACAGTACAACTAGTCAACATACCTGTACAGATGGGTACAAGCTTGCTAGGAAGTATCGACTCAGATCAAACAGTACAACTAGTCAACATACCTGTACAGATGGGTACAAGCTTGCTAGGAAGTATCGACTCAGATCAAACAGTACAACTAGTCAACATACCTGTACAGATGGGTACAAGCTTGCTAGGAAGTATCGACTCAGATCAAACAGTACAACTAGTCAACATACCTGTACAGATGGGTACAAGCTTGCTAGGAAGTATCGACTCAGATCAAACAGTACAACTAGTCAACATACCTGTACAGATGGGTACAAGCTTGCTAGGAAGTATCGACTCAGATCAAACAGTACAGTCGACATACCTGTACAGATGGGTACAAGCTTGCTAGGAAGTATCGACTCAGATAATTATTTCACATTATGAACATGAAGATGTCAAATTTAGATTTTAATTATAAATTTCTAATTTCAAATCATATGCAGGATATAAGACTGAAAAGGAAAACTTGGAAATTGTGGAGCAGGTTGGCAAGTAATAGGTTTGGCTTAGAGTTGAGAATTCTGGAGTAAACGTCCATGATAGGATCAGATGTTTTATGTGTACATAAAGTATCTCTGTAGGAGTTTTATTACTCGTACAGCACGGAAATCTCCTCACAAGCAACATACAAAATCATATACACTGCTTATATGGTAGTCCCCCATTTACTTTATAGCAATACCATGTCACAATCTGTCAGAAAAACTGCAATTCAAATTGAAGTAATAAAAATCAATAAATAATTTAATTGTATTTGGTATGAAAAGGTTTTAAATTCCAGTTATATTTATGTCACCAGGTACATAATCCTGTCATTCCTGCAGAAGAAGAAGAATTTTAAAGCTATTTTTCTATTTTCCCTATTTGGCCCCGCCCCTCTGCCAAAAGGGGGTTCAAACCCACCATTTATACAAAATTGAGTCACCTTGGCCCAAAGATGCTCCAGACTAAATTAGGATTAAATCCCTTAATCCCTATGGTAGAAGAAGGATTTTAAAGGTTTTACCTCTATTTCCCCTATTG